CCCCCCCCCGGCCCTCCGTCTCCTCCGACTCCGCTTCCCTGGTTGCCTGCCGAGTCAAAAGAAATGCTGGCAGCCCCCTTCCTTTCTGGCCCCTCCCCCTTTTGAGCCGGCATGCCAGGGGCGTGCCCCTCCCCCTTGCGTCTCCCGTCCACCTCCTCCTGGGTCCCTCCGCCTGCCGTGCCCGACGCGCCTGCGGCCGCGTGCCCCCACTCCTCTGCCTGGGCGCTTTTCCCCGGGCTCAGCTCCGCCGCACCGCTCGGCACCTCCCCGGGGGCGGGGCTGGCAGTGCGGGGAGCGTCTTCCCCGTCACACTCCTCTATAGCTCCACATTCTTATCTTATATTTTCAAAGTAGGATGGAGGGAAAAGAGTCACTTTGGAACTACTGATGCAATACATTCAGAAAGGATCAGTTACAAGTAAATAAACTTATGCTCATCTTCATATCATAGCTTTTACAGATTCTCATTTTAGAAGACCAGCAAACAGTGGCAGTCCTTAGGGATGCAGAATACTATTGTTTAAATAGGGAGTGAAACTCTATGTTCTCAAATCAGGTGTTGTATGTGGCCTCATCAGTAGAATAATGTTTTGCAAAAGTATGAATTGAACTCTAAGTTGCCACTGTACAAAATTAGTTAACGGAGCATGACAGGCAAGCTGCGGGGGCTCTTATCCTTTGATATGCAGAGACTCTGGTGAGCAGTGTTAAGCGCACCAGCAGGGGAGGAGGGAAGGAGGAGAAGAGGGCAACTGTCTCATGGCCTGGTGATTCTAAATGGCTTGGTGGCCGTGGTGGTCCTGGGCCCTTTAAATTTCCAGAGGAGTGCTACACAGCATGCTCCAGGCAGTTCTAAAGGCTGGGGGGAGGCGGTGTGGTGCACTCTGGGTGGCACTGAGGGATGTCTGCCCTGCCCTTACCCCTTTCACCCAAGGCTCTGCCCCTTTGGGAGTTCAGAGCTCCCTCCACCCCCCACCATTGCCCGGGGCTCAGCATGGCTGTTGGCTCCCCTGATCAGTGTCTAATAAATGAGAGAGGGAACCATTGATTAATTGATTAGGTGGCTTAAGTCTTTTTGGTATAACACTAGTTATGCATAACCTGTCTTAATCTGGATTGAAATACCTTGACTTTTCTTCTCCTCCCACAAAATGACACACAACTTTTTGGAATTGCTACGGTTTTTATCTGTGAAGGAATTATTAACAACATTGTTTTAATATCTAAGGGTATGTCTACACTACCACCCTAGTTTGAACTAGGGTGGTAATGTAGGCAACCGGAGTTGCAAATGAAGCCCGGGATTTGAATTTCCCGGGCTTCATTTGCATAAAGCCGGGCGCCGCCATTTTTAAATGTCCGCTAGTGCGGACTCTGTGCCGCACGGCTACACACGGCATGGACTAGGTAGTTCGGACTAGGCTTCCTATTCCGAACTACCGTTACTCCTCATCCTCCTTGATTGGATCCACCTCGTCATCTCCAGCCTGATTCTGGCCTTCATATTTATATCTGCCTCTGGAAATTTCCAATACATGCATCTGACGAAGTGGGTCTTTGCCCACGAAAGCTTATGCTCCTACACTTCAGTTAGTCTATAAGGTGCCACAGGACTCCTTGCCGCTATC